TATTTAGGCACGTTTCAGTGCCAAATTCCTATAGTCAGTGTTGGGACTTCTTCCTGGCTTTGATATTGTTGTTTGGGTGGTCTTGTCTTTACGTTTGGTATGTGCCGATTTGTGTTGGTTCTAGTCTTGCCGCTAATCTTATTTTGTTGGTGATAGCGATTTGTCCACTCCGTAGTGGGTATATTTTGGCCGAGGTGATTGTTGTGTGGTAGTGGTTTTGTTCTGTACTTTTTGGATTTGTCTCTTCTTGGTTTTTTGGACCTATGATGGATCTTGCCTTGTTTGCCTGGACGGTTCTGGTCTTTTGCTCTTGGTACGCTGCAGTCCCTTTTTCCTTAATTCGGTCTAACCCTTCTTCCTGGATTCGGTGAGTTAGCTGGTTGGTCTTCTTATTTCTTGCCTTGATGCTTTTTGTTGGTCTCGTTTGGTGACGTGAGGGTCTCGGCCTTCGTCGTTCGTTGGTTTTGTCTCGGCGATGATCCAGCATCGTAGTCTGTATAGCCTGCGTGTGCACATCGATCGATGAATTTTATCTCCCAGGGAAGACTCGATCCCCGTCCACCGAGGTAGATTTCGGGAAGGCGGCCTTGTTGATGGCGTTTGATGGCTATTTCAGATGATGACTAATGAACCTAAGATCCACATAACGATCTCCAACGCGCGTTCTGCACTTTTGGCTGAAACACACAGCAGGTGAGCCTTTTTAAGGGCCATATAATACGATTGTACTCAGTCCCACAAACACGGTGGTGCGAGTTCATTTAGTCCGGGCGATGGCGTGATGTTTGATTGACCATTACTTGGAAGACGTTACCATGAATAATATTTGCCGCTTAGCTCATCACGACGGTGTCAAAATGCCTTACGTAATCCAATCCACGAAAATTCTATCTGCTTTAAGCTACTGATTGTGCGGATTTGTTTTGCGTTGTGTGTTTCTTTTTTGCCAAGAAACCACAGTGGTAAAACGCGTGTACAAACTCTCGACTATCAGTCAAACTGCTTCAAGTGATGTCCTACATAATATCCACATCACGTAATCCCATCTATATTTTCTCCCACCCAGCACTGATCAAATGCATCCATGGTCTCACGTCTCGAACCCATGTATCAAACCCACGTCTCAGACCCACGTCTCAACCCACGTCTCAGACCCACGTCTTGAACGCACCGTAATTTTTGCCCGGTTCGTAGTTTACGACCCGACACAATTAACACGTGCCCGGACGGCTGGTTGAATACCCACCGCTCGGGTGGGGGTCGGTTTGACCCCGCTGATATTTCAGGATTTAAGAGAGCTAGAGATACCAAACTTACAGGACGTCTTAAACTGTAGGTGAACTCACTTAGATGAAAGTTTAAACATCCTAGGTTATGAGATTCAGATGCAACAAGGTCAAACAAGTTCAAATGTCAGGTTGGTCTCAAAAGTACCTCCAGAACCTAGATAACTGTCAATATCATACGGTGGCAGCTCCAGATGGGCGCTGGGGAACTCCTGTGGTGCATTCAAATTATGAGTTTTGTGAAAGTGCAGTATAAACACCCCAATCCACTCACAAGCAAGGGACGTTGTTCTGCTGAAAACGGCCAGGAAGGTTTGAGACAGTTACCATCCCCACTAACTCCTCTGCATCTTCTGCAGTCTTGATGAGTCCCGTTTGAGAATCACACGTTGGTCTGACGCGTTGGGACGATAAATTGCTTGTTCACACGTAGACACCGTAGCAGCTCCCTTTCTGCTTCGGCCGCCTTCCGATACCACCAGAGTTTGACCATCTTCGTGTACAAGCTGATCCAGGTGATCGCTTTGCCGCATCATATTCAGAGACCCTAACAAAGGCGAGCCCTCCAGCTGAGTTCACACCATACGATACTGTCTGTCTCAGACCCGCACCACCCTATGTCATCAAGCAAGACATAAAAACACGTGTTGCAACAGGGTTCAACCGGAGCAGTCACGTGCCTCCTTTGATCGCTGCTCTGAACCCCACGTGCTCCTGCCTGGCTACATGCTGAGTTGGCATCCGACGTGCTCGTGCATTAATAATGGGCGCCGGATCGGCCGAGCGAGTGCGCCCGAGCCGACGTTAAGACGGTCCGGGTGTAACCGCCGTGTGTGTCCGGTCCGAATGCGGCGCGGCGACATAGGAAGAGGAGGGATGAAGGTCTTACGGAAGGATTAGCGTGGCGTTCTGACCGGTCGGCCTGGTCGGACGTGCCTGGCGTGACACGCCACCGGGCGGTAATGAGAGGCGACCAGTGCCCGCCGGTTCCGTTCTCAGCACGACCGCCCACTACCTTCCGGTGGCCCGTGACATAGCTGACAAGCCTGGCGGCTCAGCTATGGTGACGCGGAGGTGTCCGGCTGCCCGACCCAGAGCTGACGCGGTGGTGTCCGACTGCACCGACCCAGAGTGACGCGGTGGTGTCCGGCTGCCGACCCCAGAGCTGACGCCCGGGGGTGGTGGTCCCGACTGACCGACCAGAGCTGACGCGGTTGGTTGTGTCCGGGCTGCCGGACCCAGAGCTGGACGCGGTGGTGTCGGCTGCCCCGCCCCAGAGCTGACGCGGTGGTGTCCGGCTGCCGACCCAGAGCTGACGCGGGTGGTTTCCGGCTGCCGACCCTGACATGTCCAAAGATTCCGAAATTTACCGGACGAAATCCCAGATGTGGATTCATCAGGGTCTGTAGTCATAGCTCTTAAGTTTGCTGAAAAATCTCCTTGACTTGCGAATATTTTTGAAATGTTGGCGAACGATCTTTCGGGACTCTGGATCTGTTTTGGAGTTTTGTCAAAGAACCGCTCCATGTCTTGAAATTCGTATATTTTGCCAAAAGGCCAGATGGGGTGCAAGACCTTTTAAAACATGTTGTCAAAAGGCTTTTCACATTATAGATATTTCGTTAAATGTTGCCAAATAATCTTCCAAGACTTTTCGCGCGGCTACGGATTTTTTTAGATGAGCAAACCAGTCAACTAATGTTTGGCAACCAATGTTTGACGAAGCTCGGTGCCCGTCCGCTGGGGCGGGCCCGGGTGGCCAATGAGCGCAGCGGTCGCTGACGGGTATAGTCGCCGCACTGTGAGGTGTCAGCAGGTGTGCGCCCGTATCCCAGACAAAAAGATCCAAGATTGAGCAGATGTTTCGACAAAGTTACAAAAAAATCCATGATCTTGCAAGATTCTCCGACAAAATTTCAAAAACATCTCAGATCTCCGATGATGTTCCGACAATATTTCAAAAAATCTAGATCTAGAAAATCTTCATTAGAATTCAAATATATCCAAGATCCCAGAAGTTTCTGCGACAAGAATCACCAAAACCAGGTCCTGGGTTACGGGTGATCCTTAGCCAAAATTTGAAGACAGATCCAGGACCCCAAAATATTACAAGTTCCTAGATCTCGGAAGATCCTTTTGACATGCATGCCACTGCAATTTTGGACAAATTATCATATCCTGACACAACCCTTGGCCTAATTTACATAACATCATGGGCAGAGAATGTAGTGTGACAGATGCTTCAGTGGTTACGCCAACCTTCCGATCCAAAGCAACCGTTGGAATGTGCTAGAAAACAGTTTGTAAAAATGTATGCACTTACATCGTGTCACCATAAACTGTCGCTGGTGTGGTCAACAAGCCAAGCCAACTTTACTCTGCATTATAACAGCAAATAATTTCTGAGTAAACCTGCAACTGGCGGTTTTAAAAACTGGAAAAGCTAAAAAAAAAAACTGTTAGTGTCTGGGGATATGAAACGATTCTCTATGGTACAGACTCATGTCATAAACTGCACTCGAACATGTTTTTGGCGAATAACACAGCAGCACAGGTAAAGATTTGGTTTGATCCAATGATGGTGCACGGCCATCGCCAGCGCAAATCTTGCACTTCCTTAAACGGTATGAATCAACAATCTTGTACAGTATCTATACACAACTGAAATCCACATATACAC